AGGAGGGACCGGTCCTTGGAGAGGGACATCATGCTTGGGAGGGTGGAGGGACGGCGCAGGAGGGGAAGGCCCTGTATGAGGTGGATTGATTCAGTGATTGGAGTAATCGGAATTGGTGTGCCAGAGGCAGTGCAATTGGCACAGGATAGAGCAGGGTTTAGAGCTGTTGTACATAGGGTCACTATGAGTCACAAGTGACTCGATGGCACATAACAACAACAACAACAGCCATTACCAAGCTTTTGGTCTTGACTTTTTCTGATATGTTAAGCTGATGTGTAGTCATCATATGCTTCTGACATTGAGTTTATAAACATTATTAAAATTTATTATCAGGCTGCTATTTCCTGGAAATCTTTTAAATAGGTTATAAAAAACAGAATACAACTTTGCTTGGAGGCAATGTTTACCTATATTAAATGTTTAGAAGAGAACTATTAATCAAACATGGTTTTTTGTTTTGTTTTTAAACCATTTTTTAATTATTATTATTACTTACTGTGTGCTGTTGAATCAGATCTGACTGGCACTGGAGGAGGTTGCCGCTCCTTCTCCAGCAGAGCATCTGGTGGATTAGAACTGCGTGCCTTTGGGATTGCAGCACAGCTTCCTGCCACTAGGCCACCAGAGCTCCCTATGCCAATGTGTTTTTTTTTTTAAATAAATAGTATTTTGTTTTACTGTGTTTTAGAGGAAAGCTTATATAGATGAGTTCTCATTTAACAGTTTTTATATAGACTGTTCTGTGACATTGGTTACATTGTTTTTTAAAGTTAACTGACAGCATGAAACAGGAAGGATGAGTAATAAGGATTTTTTTTATTATTAGGTATTTTTCAAGTTGACTTTATGGCTAAGATTTTTAAAATATATGTTTAGAGTAAATCTATGTTTTATATTTCTCCTTTTAAAAAGCAATGCATTTTTCCTTGTAGTTTTATTGGTATAGAATAATTGTTTTTCACATTTTTGTCTGAACAAATAACATTTTACTTACCAGATCTTTTCCCCCCCTATTGACTTACCAGATCTTTTGTGATCAAAACCACAAACGTTTATTTGGCCTTTTACTTGAATAGAGCTTTGGACTATGAATAGAACTCTTTGATCACTTAAAATATATACATTTTCTTTTGTTTAAGAAATAAATATACATTTCTTCATGTGCTTGTTGGCCATCTGAATGTCTTCCTTGGTGAAGTGTCTGTTCATATCCTGTTCCCATTTTTCAATTGGATTATTCTCCTTTATCTTGTTGTGGTGCTCGAGTATTTTATAAATTCTAGATATAAGTCCCTTGTCTGACATGTCATTACCAAAAACTTTCTACCAGTCTGTGGCTTCCCTTTTTACCCTGTTAGAGAAGTTTCTGGATGCGCATAGGGATTAGATATATGTATACCCATGTTTATCTCGGCTTTGTTTACAATAGCCAGGAGTTGGAAACAACCTAAATGCCTGTCAACAAACGAATGGGTAGAGAAGCTGTGGTGTATTCGCACAATGGAATACTATGCTGCATTGAAAAACAAGGAACTCATGCAATATTATTCAAAATGGGTG